TGCTAGAAGAACGGAGAATGAAGAAGGACTTATTTTGTAAGGTAATATTTTTCTTGTTTAGAGCTGTTACCGGAATTTGTAAGGTTTAATTAGAATAATTCCACATTTGAAATGAACATGTCTGCTTTCCGCCTCTGTAACCACGACCAACCATAGACAGCGCTGTTTCGTGCTCATTAGCACTATATGTCTAGTAGTCCTGGAGAAATATGAATGGAAAGCAAACAAGTGGGTTTGGTCGTTGGAAAAACTGGACAAGGATGATGTCACCCCCAGGACTATCAGAGTGTGACCTAAATTAAAAGCACGTTGCGTAATCCAGAGGCAGAGGGAGCCAGATGGACATATTGGGGTGTTTTCACTAGTAGTGTTTGAGTTTGATAGTTCTGTGGTTTATACGCTATTTTACTTTGTTTTTTTAAATTCTGTATCCACCTTGTTCCAAAGATAAAATGGTAGGTCCTGAAACGTGTCATAGAGAAAAAAATTGTCTTCAAAATCACGTTCCATAATAAGCAGTTCGAATATTGCGCCGAACGCACCATCGCTACAATACTTCCAAATTGAATGCACATGTAATTTTAATAGCCCGGTAGATTAGTGAGGCATGTCTACACAACCTTAGGCCTCTTCCGGTTGAAATCTTCAGACATCTTAATAAAACTTAAATATGACTGAAAAAAATAGCACGCCATGAAAGGCAATTTTTGGATACTACAGCTGTGAAGACATATTTGCAAGTGACTTTGACTTCAGTTAAGTCACTTCTACTCACAAGTTCGGAAAAATAGAAATGTTTCCTTCAAAGTTAGCCTCAATGTCAAAGACATTAATAATCATATAATATATTAATATTTCAGGTTAATATTGGATAACCTCTAGATTTGTCGTCGAGCTCAAGAATTCTTACGCATTTTTTAGAGCTCAGCTTTTTGTAGTTTTGAACCAACCAATTTCACCTCTTGGGTGTTTAGGCCTTAGGCCTTCGTGGTAGTTGGAGTATAAAAAAAGGGATCTAATATGGTACGTAGTTACCAATTTTTGACAAAGGATTCAACTCTCAAGGCAATTTAACATTTGAGAACATCATTCAGGGATATAGTTTTTTTTTGACAAAAACAGGTTACTTTTTCTTGGGTGGTAGCCCATTTTAACAAAATGCTAGTTGGGTGGCGGGCATTTATGTAATATTGCGTTTCAAGCATAACTCCTTACTTTCAACAGCAAGTTAGTAAAAAATACATAATTGATCTGTCTCACTGCGGTATAAAGATATATATATATATAACTTGGAAGTTGAGTCATTAATTTTCAGATTTCAGATAATGATTGTAGAAGGAAGATAAACCAAAATATGTTTGTAAAAATAAAAAAAAAAATGTTACCTTGTTTTATAAAGTATCTTCCCTACAAGTATTTCAGTACGGACCTGTATTTGATCGTGCGGTCTTGGAGCACCGGCATGCCCCCCCCCCCCCCTGTGAGGTCTTAAGTCACCTGATTCACGAGCCCTTTGTACTACACTAACAAAGGCACGAGGGGTTGGTTGCACTCGATTGGGAAACCGATCCGCATAAATCCGTGATGCCTCGGCAGCATTTTGTAAATAAGAATCATGTCCACAAGTTCAGCATTTTCGTAAACATGTGCCATTTTTTATTTCGTTTGAGCCACGCAACAAACATCTCTATTCACTCACGCGTTACCGACTGACACATTGACTGAATACAACTGAATGAAATTGTAGTAAACACATAAGCGTTTCAAATTCTTTCGCTTTTTTGTTTCCGATGCGATGAACCGATAAGGCGGATTATATCCGTTGATGCCAAACACGAGCACATAATATTATTATTGAGACAGGGCGGTGCTCAAACTTCTAAAGGGCTATATACAACTTTGTTACTTTAATTTTACCAAAAAAATGTTATAGGAGAAAAAGATTTCTTTTGATCAGATCTACTCACTGTTAAAATAAATGACTCAACTCCGAAGTCACCCTGTATAATTCAACGCTTCAGGCCAGAAGGCCCATGGCTTCTATCTTTTTGACAACTTCTTTTCACGCTTTTCTGTTTTTGGTCTTTTCCTCCCAGTCTGGAATGCCTAGTCTTCGTATATCCTCTATGACACCTTCTAGCCACTGCTTCTTCGGTCTTCCTCTTCTTCATTTACTGCCTTCTCCTCCAAACAAAACTTTTTTAGCATTCCTATTAGACGGCATTCTGTAAACGTGTCCTAGCCAGCGCACTCTTTGAGCTCGGGTCTTTTGTATTATACTGGGTTGGTGATACATCTCCATCAGTTCTTCGTTAGTTCGTTTTCTCCATGTACTATCATTGTTTTTTGTGGGCCCATATATTTTGCGTAACATTTTTCTTTCCCAGCGATCCAATTTCTGTACGTTTTTCTGGCTTAGCGCCCAAGCTTCACTGCCGTAAAGTACTGATGGTTGGATAACCGATTTATATATCCTTTCCTTTGTTTTCCTTGATATCCACCGTGAGTTTATCAACTTGCTTAACGTCTCCATTTCTTTACTCCCTTTTGCTATTCTTTTTTCGATTTCTAAATCTTCTTCTGCTTTATCTGTTATTGCAACCCCTAGGTATTCAAATTGATTCACCTTCTCGAAGCAGTATTCTCTGCAACTACTTTTTATTGTGAACTTTCCTTCGTCGCTTCCTCTCATTTCTAGGTATTTTATTTTGTCTTCATTTATATGAAGCCTTAAAACGTTTGGCAGTTTCTTCTAACCTTCTAAACGTCTTTTCAAGTTCTGCTTTGGATCTGGTCATTATTGCTATATCATCGGCGTAAGCAATCGACTGATGTTTTCTATAGTAAACAACTCCTTCGGTTTGTATACCACAATCACGTAAAATAGTTTCCAGTGTAAAGTTAAACAATGTTGTAGATAGCGGGTCCCCTTGTCTCAGGCCTCTCGTTACGCCAAAAGCTCGAGACGTTTTCCCTTCCAATGTGACTTTGTTCACTGTCCCGTTCATTGTCATTTTGACTAGCCTTATCAGTTTACTTGGTAGTCCTAGCAGTCTCATAGCTTCATATAATTTTTCTCTGTCAATGGAATGCGGTATAAAGATATCGGAGAAACAAATCAGTCAGTCTTGGCCACCCTGTATAAGCGAGTACGCGGCGTTGGCTGTGGTTGCCTTGATGCTCAATTATTTTGCATACGCTTTGCATGCGTGTCGGGGATTTAATGGTGGGATCGGTCACGTGGCCACGCAGGCTGAAATCGGGTAATTTGACAAGCAAATTGGCGCCCGGGGTGTCAGGAAGATTTTTTCGGCACGTTTCGGCTGTTATCTCAGCATTTTTGTGCGGTCATTAAGGGTATTTGATGGTTGGTGGGATACTATAACATTTATATTTTAGTGGTTATTCTACGCAAAGGGTTAGAACCATTGTTTGTTGTGGCGACCTATACAAAAAAGTGGTCTTACGGATCAGCTCTTGATAACCGAGTTGTCATGAGGGGGGAGGTCTGAGATGAATAAATAAAATACTGTTGAACTACCGATTCCTGAATGACCCTTCAATGGGAAAGCGCCTTCAGTATGAATAAGTGCTACCACGCAGCCTTAGCGTGCGGCAACCCCTTGCACCGTGTGTTGAGCTCTCAAGGTCATAGAAAATTCACTTAAACGATCGGCGTAATTGGTATTGCTGTAAATAACGTAAGTGAGGTATAATATTGTAATTACGAGGAAAAAACTACCGGGTACTTGAAATATGCTCAACTACCAGGTACTACGGATTTAATCTACACGATACTTTTATCTTCCATTACTTTCTTAATTTGAGCATCAAACCATCATCATCGGTATTTGCTGGAACTATTGGAAGTCGCTCAAATTTGAGCGATTTATGACTCTATGACTCTATCTTGTGATATTTTTTTAAATGGAATGGGGGTCATGCGATATTTCATTTTGAGGCTACTCATAATCACTTCATAACTCTAGAATGTAAAATAATGGCGGACTGACATGCTATAAAATTGAAGCGATGTTGTATATTGAGTCGTTTATAACTAACGACTAATCATCAAAATGTTAGAGAATCCGACTTCGTTCTTCTTCTTTTGGAGGTATGAAAGCTGGATGGATGAATGTGTTGATTTAGGGCGATCCAGGAATATTTCTAAATTACAAACGCTCTAACTTATTTACAAGCAGGAGCAAATATGTGTTCGTGTCTTAAAGTCCTTTCACTGCGCTAGCAAAAAAACAGTAGCGTGCTCAGTTAAACACAAAAAACTTCGAAATTTGATAACGCCGACCCTGGGATGATTGAGTCAGATAAGCCTGCCGTCTATTCACACAGTGTCATCTAAATGAGTTCAACAGAAATTAAACATATATAATTTAACCGGAAAGAACGTTCGAACACGCTGTATCTCAGTGACGATGCCGTAAAATATAATGTATAAGTTTACTTACATTTTTTGTTCAACTCAATGGGATCTAATAGCTAGTATGTCATAAGCCTGAATTATATATGATTATTATAGGAAATGAAATTTTTAAGAAAATTACAAACAATTAAAGATAAGAAATGTCCCCAAGTAAATTGCCACTATACTCCCTACACATTCGAAAGATCCTCTTGTACAATTTCTCATATAGTGTAATGACATCAAAAAGATATAGGTTTTCTTAGAACCATCAGTACAATATTTTTGATTCCAGCAATGAGCATTTTCCGTACATTTATTTGGGGCTCTGGAGTAAAACCGTTTGTCAACAATGCTTGATAACAGATTAAAATTGCTATTGATATGTACTTATATAGTATTACCTCACCAAATCAAATAACCTCATTAAATTACATGCAAAACATAGTGCTCGTAAATATAAAAGATATCGCGCCCACCTCGTATATGCATATCGGCACCGCGCTGTTGCGCCTGCTACATGCTTTTATGTCACTCGGATCAAATCGCCCTTTATAAGGGATACTTGACAATTTGTCATATTTTTGCTAGTGAAAGTTTTTCAACAGAAAATCCGATTTAAAAACATGGAGGTCAAAGTAATGATCCCCCAACGTCCACGATGATGAATGGACCCAGCCAGAAGGAGAGAACAGAAATTACCATGAAATCAAAGGAATTGATGACACCAGCTGTATCAGACTAAAAGGACAGAACCATCCAGCGCCTGACGCTGATCATCGAAAGCCAGGCCCAGCAAATAAAGGAACTGACTGAGACAGTTAGGGACCAAAACAGTAAAATAGACTGCCTGACCACCCAGGTAACACAGTTAGTCAATACTCCAAATTTTAATTCTAAATCTGACAAGGCTGTCCATTTAAAAACATTCCAGGCCGCGCCTCGCACTGTGATCAAAATTAAATTGTAAATTCAGACCAGCCAAAATTATTTCAATATACAAAACCGATCAAAATTATTTTTTGGAGTTACAAAATAATTCCAGTAGTCAAAGCAATAATGCTTAAGCTATTTCAAATGGTTTACTTCTTTTCTTTGCTCTATTTCTTCGTTCCGTTATTTCCTTCTTTCCCTTTTCCCCTTAAACATGTTTGGTATCTGGGTAGCCAGACCTGACAGACTAACAGACCGACGAGACTTTTAACTAAGAGCAAAGTTCCACCGGACTGCTCTGACGAATAATCACGAATAGTCAGTCACTCGGATCGACTACCACAAATGCGATATGTACAACCCCGTGACGCACGGAAAGTGCAACCGATTGGTACGCGATCTGATTGTTGAAAATATTTAAAGGCAAGTGAACGGGGAAGTCTAAGACGTATGAAATATATCAAATAGGTGCGAGGAATTATCGGGGCTGTAAGTGTATTAATATACTAACATCAAAAATTGTAAAACACTCTCCTCCAAAGAACGATTTTTTTTCGTTTTTTGGCATTTCCCCCGCCGACAACATGTTTTTTCGCGATATGCATGCCATATAACATCCAAAAAACACGTTTCACGGGTATTCTTATTGGATACCACTTAGCGTGGCCTGGGCCGAATTAAAGCTAATCTTAGCCTGAGAAAAGACTCCGCTGTTTTTCTATTAACAGTTAAATAATAATAGATTTTTTCATAACCTAAATGCTAAAAAACTGTCAGTTTTTATATTAAAGTGTTTATTTTAACTAATAATACTGTAGAATATGAAATAAAGACAAGCTTCTTAATCGTTCGAAGAGAACTTTTTTAACAAAAGCAAAAATAGATATTACATGACATTATCTATATTATCGACCTAAAGCTAAATGCAAACACCAACAACAAATATATACAAATAATGTCAATGATTATTTTGGCATACCTTTGTGCTTATCAAAAAAACAATCTAAGCAAAGAAATTTTAGTTCACAGACTTGGCATTTAGTTGTAACTTGTTTTGTTTTACTTATTGTATAAGGTCCTCCGTGGTTATCTTTATTTAGTTGGTAGCTTCTACGCATCTATGTTTTCCTGCTTGAATAAATTTATGTGCTGTGGGTGTGTCTTGGGGATCAAAATTTTGTTTACCTTTTGAAAGTAATGTCAAGGATAATTTTTGTTTAAAGTCTGTTATACTTATTCTTACTCCTGCTTTTTATTCTAAGTGTATAAATAATCTGCGTTTAGTATGCTTCTTCCAGTAGATAACTCATCAGCCACCTTCCTGTACCATTTGATACCCCGTCTGCGGTAGAATAGGACATGATAACTGGTCGGATACGTCGATAAAGCTTTTTGCATTATTATAAGCCGCAATTGCTTCCGGTTTCTTTTTGGCCTCAGTTCTGCCTGTGACTTCAACGAAGCTGAGTTTATGTTTAGTGGTAAGCATAAGCACATCTCGCTTATCTTTCCATTTGAAAATAGCGATGCTGTTTTTCTCTGTTCCTACAATTTCACCTTTCTCCAGTTTAGTGGACAGTATTTATTTCTGAATACCTCTACGATTTTTTCGTAGGGTTCCCACTAGATGCGGTTTTCTGCCTTGCAATTTTTCAGCTAATTCTATACTGCTGTACTAATCATTAAAAAAAGGTGAACCGGATAACGCAACATTTAGAGCAGAGCTAACATTATCTTACACCAACGCTACTGTTATGACAGAAATGACAAGTCTGAAGAGTGTAACCAGACCTATACACGCGGCGGACCACAAAGAAATGTTCTTCCAGGTCACGTGTATATTTTTTTCCACTGGTCGAATTACAAAAAATACAAAAAAATTATATAGATAATGTATCTAAGGTGTGTTGACAAACTATTTCAAACACATTATCATTAAAAAAAATAATGTGGCGTACGGGACCCTTCTGGTGATTTTGGTGTGGCAAAGTGTTAAGTCTAACGTACTCCACTATTTTTTGTGGGTTGAACAAATCAGTTGAATGAATGTGGAACCTAAATTATACAAACAATGGAATAAACATCACTATAAGCTGCCAAAAGGCATTTCTCCTGGATACTGCTGCAGGCGTTGCGACCGTATGCAACCCTCCCACCCCCTAGGGCGAGGGGTGTTTCGCGCCTCTGCACAAAAGCAGCGCCATTTTAATGACCTGACGTTGGAAATTATTCATCCCCTATACACGGGCTGCTGTGGCGGCGTTGCGGCTGCCGCGTTGGAATAACAAGGCTTCCATCGCCTACTGCCTACATGACGGCGCGTCTACGCGGTAATCACGTTAACAGAGGGCGCTAGTGTCGCGAAGCGTCGCCGCTTTATCCCGTCGCGGTAATTTTCGCATAAACGAAGCCAATACCGGAATACAAAACAGCTTTCCAGCCCGCGGCTAGGGCGTTGTAGCGAGGATAAGCGCGTTCTTCTGATTCCGGGGGAGGTAATCTGATTACGTATTTCCGAAATATGAGAAAACGCTGTGTCAATAATTGTAAGATCGAAATCAGACACATAACTTGCGTATAAGCGACTCTAATAATACTAATTTACAAAATAAAAGAACGTTGTGACATATCCCCTCAGCTTCAGCGATTGTCTTGCAGTACAGACAAACTACAAATATTCGACGATCTTAATCAACTGGACTGGCTAGTGGACGAGCAAAAATGGTAGTACCGTTAGAAAAATAGTTTATTAAACTATTTTCTACAGCCACTTTCGTGAGGACTTCGGGTCCCAGGACATGGGCCAGCATGTTTGCTACGCGAAAAGAATTCAGACAGAGCTGAGTCCAGCTATTAAGCTTCGCGCACGCCGACTAAGTACACAAGGTACTTTGACTATCATCTGCATGCCTTGAACACCTTGTATAATTAACAACCATCGTTCTGATGATGGTGTCTCCTTCTCTACCTCCAGTCATCCCTGTATCTTCAACACTTTTGCCTGTCTCCCGGCGAAAGATTCAGAAGAAGCTGTTACGAATCTGAACAGTGAACTTGGGACACCTCAATCCTTTTGAGCCTCCCACTAAGTGATGCCCCTCGATCAAGCTGATGACGATGTCTGCTCCTCTACCGCAAGTCTTTTTGCCTGTCACCCAGAGAAATATTCAGAAGCTTTTACGCATCTGAACAGGGGACTTGGGACACCTGCCTTTGCCTTTAACACTTTTGCCTCTCTCCCAGCGAAAGATACAGAACAAACTGTTACAAATCTAAACTGGGAACTTGGACACCTAAATTGCTTTGAGCGTTTCACTAAGTAATGTTTCTTGATCAAGCTGATGACGATGTCTCCTCCTCTATCTCTAATCCTTACTGAACCTTTAACACTCCCAGCGAAAGATTCAGAACAAACTGTAACAAATCTAAGCCGGGAACTTGGAACACCGAAGTCCCTCTGAGCGTTTCACTAAGTAACGTTTCTCGATCGAGCTGATGACGATGTTTCCTCCTCTACCCTCAATCCTTCCTGTTATCTAGAGAAAGATTCTGAAAAAGCTGTTACGAATCTGAACAAGGACCTCAGGACACCTAAATCCCTTTGAGCCTCTTACTAACAAATGCCTCTCTGCCAAGCCGATGACGATGCACTGCTCTTTGTCCAATTCTTCCTGCATCATCAATGCTTTTGCTTGCCATCCAGCGAACGATTTAGAAGAAGCTGATACCAATCTGAACAGTGAACTTGGGACACCTCAATCCTTTTGAGCCTCCCACTAAGTGATGTCTCTCGATCAAGCTGATGAAGATGTCTTATCCTCTACCTCACGCAGCGAAAAATTCAGACGTAGCTCGTATGAATAATCTTTAGCTCCCAACCACCATCCTGCAACTTCCAATCACTCTCTATAACTGTATCCATTGCTTTTCAGTTCGTTACCTCCTCAATCCTCCAAATATATAAATTCTTTGACGTCACTTGAAGATGCATTAGTCGTGCGTCTGAGCATAGAGAATAGGGAACTTGGGACATCTGAATCTTCTTAAGCCCTCCACCAAGGAATGGCTGTCGATCAAGCTGATGACGATACCTCCTCCTCTACCCCAATCCTCCATGCACACTCCGGCCTCTCGCGTCTCATCAATCGCCGGGTGACAGATTGTCGCAGCAGGCGTTGCCTTACCCCCTTCCCTTGATTTCCCCTCTTCACGGCGCCACAATGTGTCTCGGGACGTCTGTACTGCATTATAGTTCAGTGAAGATATATTTTACTTCTAAGTTTTCTAAACTGAATTAAAGATATACGCAAGCTCAACTCAACGAGCGTACTCCTTTCTGCTTCGAATGCTGAGGATAACTGAATCACTGAGTGATGATGTTAATGATGTATCTAATTTCACCCACGTACAAGGAGTATTCCTTCCTGTGGTAAAAAAATGAAAAAAATTACTGATCAATCTCTCTCGTACCAGTTATTGCTAAGACATTTGAGGTGCCCCTAAAATACCAAATAAATAAATTTTTTTAATCAAATAATCTATATACTAATTGTCAGTTTGGCTTCAGATGTCATAGCTACAACATCAGCTATTAATGCTTTTGTTGATTACATTAATTCCGTCTTGGAAAATGATTCATATTGTATGGTGAGATTTTTCGACTCCACAAAAGCGTTTGACTGTAAACACATCAAATTCTGTTGGAAACAGTTCCATACCACAATTTGGATAATAATAGCATCGACCTCCTCTGATCATATTGTACACTTTCACAGTTCAGACTCTTCACGACAACCAATCAATAGTGAATTAAGTATATTATATTCCGATAATCAATTAAAGCCCTCTCAGATCAAAGCATAACAAATAAAATGAAAACATCAACATCGAATAAACTATCCAATGATAATAAACCAGAATATGTGGTTA